TGTAGCAAGGAGGTCTGTCCCTTGGCTCCTCCGTCATCTGAAAGGCCTGACCTTGCACCCTGTCTCCTGTGTCCACACCGCTGCCATGTCTGCCTCTTTGCTCTTCTGGGAATGTGCCATGTGCCTTCCCTTTAGGGCTCAGCAGTGACTGTCCCCTCTGCCTGGATGCCCTCTCTCCAGTTCATGGATTCATCCAAGCCTCATTTCCCAACCCTTTTCCCAGGGACCCCTCCTGCTTCCACACATGCCATAGTGCTCACACGCGCGTGCACACACACACACGCACACGCATACACATTTACCCTCCTCACCGCCTGTCTCATGCCATCTTGGCTGGATCCTGTGGACCGTCTAGCTTGTTGTCCAGATCTTCCATTAAAGTGTGCTGCCGTGAGAGCAGGGACCTCTCATTGCTGGCTTTACTCCTGGATCCTCAGGACCCCCTTGGGTGCTGGGGCAAGAACTGGATTGTTGAACTGAGCGTAGACTCCCTGGGAAACCTCATGGTCGTCTGGACCTGAGTGCAGGGACCCCAGAGGTAGAGAGTGTTCCAGTTTGTAAACAATTAACTTCATGACTTTGGGTACGCCTTTGTGCTTCTCTGGGCCAAGACGTCCTCACTTGTCAAACAAAGCAGGAGATTTACTTACTACCCTAACTTCCAGCCATAGGGAAAGACACTGACATCTGGATGAGGTTCACCATGTGCTAGATGAGGTTCACTACACCTTCCCTTGGGGCTCAGGTATCACAGCAGCCTGGAGAGCTGGGTGTGGTCCATTCTGTGGCCTGGTGACTGTCTGGCTAATATCCCCTTTGCTGATGAGCTCTGAAGACCCCTCATTTCATCTGGTCTGGTCTCCTGCAGCCCCCACATGATCCCACCGCCTCTACCTTCTTACTCTGCTCTCACCTTTCACCATGTGTCACCAGTAGGTGACACTAGGAGCAAAGAGTGGCTGGTAGGTAGGGAAGGATCTCAGAGGTGCCCCTGTATTTCCAGAGCTCACTGTGGCTAATTCTACTTGGTACATGTTTCCCAGCCCTTTCTCTGCGCTGGACACCACGCCGGGCACGGGGGACACAAACGGATTGCAAGGCTCAGTCCCAGGGAAGCAAAGGCTATGTACAATGGGGAATGTGGGGGCGATGGCCCAGACCCACACTGGGGACCCAGGAGGAGTCCCGGGGAGCTGCCAGTGGAACCCAAGGCTGAGGGGCTCAGTCTCTGGAAACACTCTGTCTTTTCTTCCTTTTCCCTGGGAGTTGACATGGTCCATAATGATACAAACGATACACCTGTGCGTCCCCAAAATAGCAGTGGTGTGTACAGGGACGCTGCATCACGCTGCAAAATTGCTGCCACCTCGGCTGTGTTTGCAAAAATACCTTCTGCTGCACAAAGGTGAAAATGGCAGAGGCGAGAACCAGGCTTCTGAAAAGGGAAAATATTTAAACACCTTCCGCAGGGATCTGTAAACTCTCGGCACAGGCACAACTAATGCTCCATGTGGCTGGGCTAAAGTTAGCTCCCACCAGGAGGGAGCTGGCTGCATAGTAGCATTGCCACCATGAGCATGTGGCGCTGGCCTGGCTCCTTGGCTGGCGGAGAGTTGGTCTAGAGAGGAGGGCAATGTGCCCTCCACCCCCAGGAGGAGAAGCAGCAGCAACTGAGCACATGGATGCCTGGCCTCGGGCTCCTTTCACTTCCTCCTGGTGGGACAAGTGCTCTCCTTGTTTCACTCACAAGGAAAGAGGCACAGGGAGGGTCTCCCTTGCTCAAGGTCACATAGGGATTTGGAAGGAGGCCCGACTTGGAGGAAGACTTGTTCTGCAGCCTAAGTGGGCATCAAGGCTCCCTCTGGGGAAAATCAACCAGTGCAGTGATGCAGATCTGGCTGTGGCAGGGTGTGTGCTTTGGGGGAAGCTAGTGCCATGGAAAAGGAGTCCTCTGGCTTAGGGAGATCTCTAGCTTTGCCCCTGACTCTCGCTGGACACTTTATAATTATCTGGAGATCTCAGCCCTAGGAGGTGTCCTGCCTCACCTCTTAGCTCAAGACAAGGAAATTTGATCAGCTTGGACAACCCAGTTCTCACATTGAGTTCTCAGCCAATCATTGCTTTTGCTTAAAAGCAGAAGATTTTTTTTTGTAATTGATGTATTTTTTTCTTTACTCTTTAGAAGGCAGAAAACCTGGGTCCATAAAAATGTCTCTTTACTATGTGTGTCTAATTATATCTGTCGCTAGGTGGTAAGGAGATGACAGAGAAAAATGCCAAGGAGGCCATTTCCTGGCCACCAGTATCTCTGCTGTCCCCACAACCATTTCATTAATATGACCAGGAAACACCCAGTAGTATCTGCTCAGTGTTAAGCCCCAGGGTACATAGAAGTGGAGCCTGGAGACACCTTGCTGCCTAGGGGCCTACATTTTTCTGCCCCCCTCCAGGTCATAGTGGCAGCCAGTGGGCAGGGATACACACTGCCCTCTTATCCCCTGACCTGGTTTTAGAACAGCCTCCAGGAGGGTTGACACTGACTCTCCAGGCTGTCACTGAGCCCGCCATTATGGACCCAGGGACCCACCCAGCAGCAGCCCCTCTTGGGAGCTGTCAACCAAGAGAAGCCTCTACCAATAGCCCCATTGATTCTGGCAGCCACCTGGGCTCTGGGGAAGGCAATGCAGCTATTTATAGATCAAGAGAGCAATGAATGGGCAGTGGTTCGGGCTTCATGAAGGGCCCTGAATTCTACTAATCAGTTTCTTCTACTAATCAGTGAAGTGAGGGCGTGCACATGTGTGGGGCATGGAGCCCACACTGCTTCCGTGGAGAAGGGCTTAGCCTGGCTCCACCCCGCCACTTCCCTCAGTTGCTAGGTGACCTTGATTCCCAGAGTGACTCGATCATCATCTATTACAGTGAAGTCCCCACTCGTGAAAACCCTCTAACTTCAGGAGCATATCAGATCCACTCTGTATCCAGGTTCTGCTCCCCTTCTAGTCCATTCCTTCATGAACCATGCAGATACCTCTGGCCATGTGGCCATGGTGGGAGACTTCAACACACATTGAGAACTTTGAAGCTTGGAAATCTCCAAGCTTAGCTTCTACTGGGGGAGGGACTCCAGCCACTTTGGGCTCCTGTTTCCATGTGACCCACTGACAGCCCAGGCAGTTCAGGGTTGACAACTCAAAGGTCGCATTACCAGGAGCTTTCACCAGGCCCTGCCTGTTTTCCTCTTCCACAACGGCCTTCACTTCTTATGGCTCAAAAGCTAGAAGTCATTTTTCTGCTCCTTTCCCTTCTGGTGCTCACTCCATCAATACCTGGCTCTAGTGAGTGTTCCCAGCATTATCTGGGGGCCAAATTATGGAGCCGGTGAAACAAATTTGAGCACCTGTGGTATACCCGGGCTGGGGCGCTCCTGTTCTTCCTCCCCAGTCCTCTGGCCCCCACACTGGTCCTGGCTCACGCTGCCTGCACTTGCTACATGTCAGCACCTGCCCCACCCCCATTGGCAGTCACCACTACTGTGGCAGGCTCAGGGAGCCTTGCTTTGTCCCTGGCCCCTGGGAATGACAATGGGGGTCTAACAGAGCCTCTGAGAGGACATCTCAAGCTACAACATGGGAACCTGCCCTACCCAGGCCCAGCGCTCCAGCCTGGGGGCCTGGGAAGCTTCTGGAGAAAGCTGGGTCCTGAAAGATGGGGAGTTGAGGGCTGATCAGAAGTCAGATACCAGGGTGGGAATGCCAGGCTGAGGATTAGTCTTGTCCTAGGGGCTTCTGCAGGGCTTTCGGCATGGAAACTTCAGCAGGCAGTAGAGAGGTGTTGCTCAGCTGTAGGCAGAGGGCCAGCAAGGGGGCTGGAGGATCTCAGCTGATGGAGGGTTTGTCTGTGCAGAACCAGAAACAGGACCTGAGTCTCCTGCTTCCCTGCACCTCACTCTCCAAACTGGGCCAGTGTTTCCCAAAGTGTGGTTCCCAGAACCCAGTGCTGTTGTAGACTTTGTGTCCAAAGTCAGGCTTCTTGGATGAGTGGGTTTGAGAAACACTACTCACAGTACTCTGGTCTCAGCCATAATCCCTATTAACAATCCCAAAGCTCTGAGAAGTCCCAAATTCTTCTCTGTGTAACCTGGGGTTCCCCAAACACAGAACACATGTTCACACACCAAAGAACAGTCTAGAAGGCCCTACATGTACCTGGCTGCCTGCCTTGGGAGTGCTTTTCTCTGGGACCTGACCCTGCTGGAGGTCCGAGGAGAAGACATGTCTGCAACTGTGCAACATCATAGCCTTGAGGGACCAGGGGTGGTGGGGTGGAAACATGTTCCCGGGGCTCCAAAGAGGGCAGGCTCAGCCCTGCTCTGTCCTGTGGCTTGCCACTATTAGCCTCCTTTGCGCCTCACGTTCCCTATCTGTGAAATGGGGAAGATAGTAGATTTTCAAAGATATGGACATAGATGCAACAAAGCACGATCTATCTAAGGAGTCAGGATGTCCTGACTCTGGCTTTTCCCAAGAAAAAGAATGTGCTATGGCCCAATACCAGCCTCAGCCTGGGGCACCTGGGTGGGATTGAGTACCTCCCTGTTCCACTGGCAGGAGCACCTGCCTTTAGCAGTACAGTGGAGATGTGGAAGAAGTACTGGCTGTATAGTTCTGTCCTTTGTTTGTTTGTTTTCAGTACTGGGGATTAAACCTTGGGCTCTTGCACTAAGCTATATCCTCAGCCCACCCCTGCCCCTTTAAAAAAATTTTATCTTGAGACAGGATCTCAGTATGTTGCCCAGGCTCCAACTTGCCATCCTCCTGCTGCAGCCTTCCAGAATGCTGGATTACAGGCTTTCGCCACCACACCTGGCAGCTCTTTCTTCCTCAGTGCGAGGCCAGGACAAACTGGTCTCTTTGGGTTAAACATGTGGTGTAGGGGGTGGACTTGGGGCTGCAGACACACCCACTGTGTAAAGAAAAGAGCAAACAAGTAGGCAGCAGTGTTATAAAACAATGATGTCCTTTATTAGCTAATATGATGCACCTGTTTTTAGTGACGAGGAAACTGAGGTCTAGGTAGCACAGGGACTGGCCCTGGGAAAGGGGGCCCACAGACAGGCTGCCAACTCAGTTCTCGGGCCCTTGGGCACTGGGCAGGCTTAAGACCAACTTAGTGACCTAAGCCAAAGAAAGAATGAGTTTGGTCAGCCAAGTTGGGTGGCCGTGCCCGCAGCATTCCAAAAGCCACCTTCCTTTCCTTCACCTCTCAGCTCTGCCCAGGGCCTCTAAGGAGATGCTTTCCCAAAGTCCAGGAGATGCCCCCGGGGTGACATCTATCATTTTCCAGCTCTGGCTGGAAAGAGGGGGAAGAGCTGTCCATGGTTCGGAGGTGGGTGTGTGAGCTAAGCCCAGCCAATCCTGTGGCCTGGAAAATCCCAGGCTCTGACTGGCTCCCCCCACCCCCACCCCGAGCCCCGCATCTCCTTCTGGGCGGGGCTGCAATTAGACCTCTTAGAACCACTGATGGCTGCTAGATGGTCGAGACCCAGGTTCTGCTCCGAGGAGCCCCCAGTCCACCCGCAGTCAAGACACAGGGTGGGAGTGAGTGCAGCGCGGGTGTGCATGGCCAGACCAGGAAATCCTGCTCCTCCACGCCCAGATCCCGCCCCGAGGCCCACTCCCTCGCTCTTCATTCCAAGAGCCATTGTAGTTTGAAGGGGGCTGAAAGGGAAGAATGGAACATGGGGTCTGGTTTGGGGCTATTCTGGCTGCGTGAACTTCGGCTCAGAGAGCAGCGGGGCTCTCGGAGGAGAGCTGGCCAGATGCCCAGGAAGGGGTCAAGGGCTGGTTCAGGATGAGAGTTACGGTGAGATGCCGGCAGGCGATCCTTTGCAGTTGGACGTTTTTCCATCGGTAAAACAAGGGATTTGGAGTAACGTGTCTCTGAAGTCCCCTTTCGTTTTCCTGAAAGGTTATATGTAAATTAGAGCTCCGTAAGCCTAATCTAAGTGGCTCTCCCCAAAGCGAGGAATCTGTCCGTGGAACGCAGCCCTTCCCCCGCTTCCGAGTTTGCCACTGGGGACTGCCTGTACTTCCTCGCCACCGGGTTGGCTCAAAGCGGGGCGGACCCGTGGGCCGGAGTCCAGCGCCCCCTGGTGGCGGCTCGGCGGGCAGGCGGCTCCAGACCTCGCCGGGCCCGACGGCTGTGACTTACGGTGGCGCCACTGCCAGGGTAGCGGGAGGCCTGACTGGGGTTCCGTCGTGGGCTGAGCCACCGCGCAATTAATTACCAGCTGCTGGGAATCCTTGTCTCCCGCTCACTGTGACTCACCCAGCAGCAAGGCTCACTTGCCGAGTGCGGGGGCCTCGGTTTCCAAAATGAATTGGGGGGAGAGCAAGTGTTTGGATGGGGCTCCCCACGCGGGGGCCCGAGGGTCCCCCCACACCCGGCAGAGACCCGCCTTCCCAGACGTAGCCACAGCCCGGACGCCCTTCCCGGTGGCTTCCCGGGATTCTTCAAGTGCGGTGGACGCGTCCTAGGCGGGGGTCTCAGCAAGCCCTGAGATCTCAAGCAGGGCCTGAGGGGCGACCCAAAGGGGACAGGGCTCCTGCAGGAGGTGGTCTGACTCCCCAGCTTCCTCCAATTCCCTTGGCCAGCCCACTGCCCAGACTTCTCCCGTGGCCGGTGGACCCCACCCCAACTCCACCTCTCATTGACAGGAGCCAGGGGCGACAGCCTGGCCAGGGAAGGACAGCCGCGCGGGTCCAAGGCTTGTTCTACCCGATCTGGGCTCCACCTCTTGCGGGGGGATTCATGAGGGGAGCCCGTCGATGACCCAAAGGGAGAGGCGGAGGGAGAGGTCCCGGAGGGCCTACGTGGGGCTGGAGAAAGCCAGTCTCCTCCGTGGGACTCTAGAGCAGCTGCGCCCGTGCCATGCCTCGTGTTCCTTCCCCAGCTGGTCCCGAGAGGGTCTGCCGCCTGGTGGAGACGGCAGGACTGCGTTCCAGACGCACCCCGCGACCGCACCTTGGGTACCCCAGGAGTGCGTCTCAGAAAAGAAACAGCGAGGGTCCTGGGTGGGGAATGCTGCGTTTTCCCAAGCTGTCCGGACTATCGGAGCTGCCGGCGGGTCCTATACTCGGCGTTCTCAGGGTGTGGGGCAGGAAAGACTCAGTTGGCAAGTGCCCGCCCCCCAGATGCACCCCTCGAGGGGCTAAGGAGCTCTCCGGACCCCGTCACTGCAGGAGACAGCGGCCCTGGCTCCCGGTGGTGGCGGAGAAACCTCGTGCGCCACTGTCTTGCGCTCCCAGGTGTCAGCCCCCCCCCCCCCCCTCTCCTCTCCCGGAAGCTGCAGGACGGTCTTTTGGGGCTGAATCCCGCCTCCCTCCCCCAGTCCCGGGTCCCCCAAACTCTCCGCCCGCCAAGGCTGCACGCGCTCTCGCTCTCGGGGAGAAAACTGGAAGGGCCCTAGCAGCCTGGTTTAGGCGCCCATCCCCCGCCCCGCCCCCACTCTGCCGGCCCCCACCCCCTCTTCTGGGCTCCCTCTGCGTGCGCCCTGCGCCTCGCTCGGTCTGCAGCGGGAGCTGCCACTGTCGCCTCGCCAGCTGGCTGGGGACCAGGCGGGAGGTGGCGCGCCCTGGAAGCTGAGGGAGAGAGCGAGGAGGGAGGGAGGGAGGCCCGGCCTCGGCGTAGCCTGGCCTCCCCCCCGCGGCCCTCCCGCTCGAGCGGGGCTGTCAAGCGCAAACACACCCGCGCGCACATACAGACAAACACACCCTCGGGCTCCTCCGGCGCACACGCAGACAGCGCCCCGGGCAGACCAGCACCGCCGTCGCCTCCTCGGACACCGGGACTCGAGAGGGCCAGGACCTCGGCTGCTGCGCCCGCCCCCGCCCCCGCCCCGAGGTTGTGCGAGCCCGAGGGACCCCTCCCGCCGCCGACGCCGCGCCCGCCGCCCCCGGAGGAGCTTGCTGGCCGGCCGCTGCCGCGCCGTTGCCTGGCCGTCCCCGAGGTAGCTGCGCTGCAGGCCTGCCCTCTCGGAGCCGCGCCCCGTTCCTGCGCCTCGGAAGCTGAGCGGAGCAAACTTCGCAGACCGGCCGACGCGCGGCGGGTACCTCGCGGTGCCCCCGCGCGCCCAGGTGGGCGCGGGGTGTTCGGACCCTGGGGCACTGGGCTGCCTAGCTCCCTCCGCGCTTGCCGGGGACTCTGGAGGTGCCGCCACTTAGCAAACTTTTCCGCCCCCTAACGAAAGGGGCGAGAAGGGGAGAAGGAGGAGGTCCCGCAGGGGGCAAGCGGACCCTTAAGGCTTACCACTGGATCCCAGCGGAGAGGGGCGCGGGGCCCCTTCACCCCGACCGCCCTCCAACCTGTCTCCAGCTCTGGCTCCCGCTCCTGCCCTTCGGGCAGGGGCGAGGGGCGGAGTGCGGAGGGCAGCGCAGCCCGCGCTGGGCTCCGCTGGGCCACCCGGCATTGCTGTGCGCCGCGGGGCGGGCTGCTTCAACCGGACCTTGCGCAGGGTGTCGGGGTTCCAGGACGCCTGGCCCCGGCGCTCGAGCAGCCTCCTGTGCCTGCCCGCCTTCTCCGCCGAGCCGGGGCCCGCGCCACCCCTGGCTCGCCGGCCGCCTCGAGGTGGTGGTGGCCCCGGTGGAGCGGCCCCTCCACCGCCCGCCCGTCCCCTGCTTCCCGATTGCTGCTTCTTCTGTTGCCGCGGTTTTCAACTTGGAGGCGGCGGCGGTGGAGGCGGCCGCGGGGCGCTGCAGTGGGATGCGCGCGGCTGCCAGCCTGCGGGACATGCTCCCCGCGCCAGCGTCCTGCTGGCGGCCATGAGGAAACAGAACGTGAGGACTCTGAGCCTCATCGCCTGCACCTTCACCTACCTGCTGGTGGGCGCCGCGGTGTTCGACGCCCTGGAGTCCGACCAAGAGATGCGCGAAGAGGAGAAACTCAAGGCGGAGGAGATCCGGATCAGGGGCAAGTATAACATCAGCACAGAGGACTACCGGCAGCTGGAGCTGGTGATCCTGCAGTCGGAACCACACCGCGCCGGCGTCCAGTGGAAATTCGCCGGCTCCTTCTACTTTGCGATCACGGTCATCACCACCATAGGTAAGGGCTGGGTGCGCCGCCGGCAGGCGCCCCGAGAGGTACCCGCAGGCAGCTGAGCGCACGCAGCGCAGGGCTGGGTGCGGGATGCCCGGGGAAAAGGAAGCCTCCTTTGGGGCCCTCCCGCGGTGGCCTCTGTCTCTGAGGAGTCCACACCTCTGGCGCCTCTGTGCCTCATGGCTGGAGATCCCACCTGGGGCTGTCTGCCGCGCCAGTGTCTGGGCCTGGCGTGTGAGCCTGGACCCTCGAGGCGTGAGGCACCACTTTTGCGAAGACAGTGGAGCAGAGCTATAAGAATAATTCCACAGTGGGCAGCCACTCACCCACCGCCCCAGCACCGGCTGTGCTGTGCCTGTGGGGTTCAAGCCTGACACTTACTACCTCTTGGGGAGTTGGAGAGGGCTGGCCTGCCACCTGAGGTGTCCAGATGGACTCAGGTGGGAGGAGGCCGCTCCTGGAGGTGGTGGAGGGAGAGGCGCTGCCCCTTGCCAGCCCCTGGGCTCTCTTCAGCCTCTTCTGAGCCCAGATTTCAGCTCCCTTCCCCGTGGCTCCTTTTCTTTGAGTTCTGGAGCTTGCATATTAGGCCCCTGGGAGGAGAATCTTCTGCCCAGGTCTTGGGGGTGGGATGGCAGCAGGTGAGCTGCTCTGGGATAGATGTGGGCGGCCACTCCACACTGCGACTTCTGGGAGGTGAACTGGGAAGTGCAGCCCTCTCTGGGGAGAGGGTCCAGTTGGTACACTGTGGGGTCAGTCGCCTGTGGATCCCTCACTCAGCGCACTGTCCACGGAGCAAGGTCTCCGTGCGGCCCTAGGACTGTACCCCAGTGGGGCAGAGGCTTGGGAGACATCAAGCTTTGAGATCTGTGGGAATTTGCCCAGGTCCCTTGGTCCCAGTGGGTATGGTGCCTGCCCTGCTGGCAGGAGGCTGGGTGGGGTCTCTGTGGTTTGCCACTTGTCCCAGCATGGCCTGGCGTCTCTCTAGGACCCTCTCTTTGGACCTGTCAGGGCCAGCATGTTGGCTCGGGATGATCGATTTTGTGCACCCCTGCAGCCCTTTCTGCCCCTGTGCCCTAAACACAGGTCCCCTTCCTGCCTTTCTCTCAGGCCCCTAGCCTGACTTCCCTGGCTGGACCTCCTCCTCTAATTTTTCCATGATATTTTCTTTGTCTGGAAAGCTCTGCATGCTGAAAAAACAGTTCTCAGTGGCATATGCAACAGGAAGCACCAGCACAGGACGGCCTGTCTCTCCTTGGTTGAAAAGACTTTTAGACAGTCGTCTTGCTGTAAATGTTTAATTCATCAGTGCACGTTTTCATGTTCAGGGAAGGAAACTCCTTCTGTCGTCTATATAACCAGCTTTGGCCCTACTGGCCCCACGCCCTCTGCCCAGCACGCAAACATGGAAGAGTCCTCCTCTCCCTGCTGTGTTTCCAGCATGGGAGAGGACCAGGTGGTCAATTGCTGTCATTTCTGCCTTTTAACTGTGGATGTGGCATGAAAATGTGCAAGTCATTGTTTCTAGGGGACAGGAGCCTATTTGCTGGACAGCTGACAAGCAAGAAAAGTGCCTGTGAAGCTGACCCTCAAGAAAGGGGCGAAAACCCCCTCCCCTAGAGGTGGCTTTTGTGATCTAGAGCAGAAACAGGTGAAATTGGCTAGCTTGCTGGCTCCCGGTAGTAAAACCCGCACATGAACTATTCTGCTGGTCCCAAGAGGTGAGCTGTCACACTGAGGAAAGGGCTGGAGTAAAAGCAAACCCAGAAATGTTCTGGTTTTCCTTAAAAAATAAATCATGGAGACAGATGAAGCTGTTATTGAGGTGTGTTTCTATTATTGATCCTGATCGGCAGCTCTGGACAAATGCTTCTAAGGGCTCAAACTCCCAAGAAAACATGTTGAGGGAAGTGGGGCTAAGTGAGGGTGTAGTGTTAGCCCTGGGGTGGTAGACTCACATCAACACAGACCCAGGGATAATTGATGGAAATACTGATTTTTCTCTTCTTCTATTGGGTTTTCAACTGATTTTCTGAACAGAAAGGTTGAAATACACACACTCACATATGCACACCATGCACACACACTCTGACACAGCATCCCGTCAGTGGAAAGATACTGTACTTGGAGTCACAGATCTGGCTTGGCATTTGAATCCTGCCATACTGTAAGAGCAAAGCAACATCATTTCCCCACTCCCAACCTCAGTTTCCCCATCTGTAGAATGGCCACTATGTAATACTCATCTGACAGGCTGACTCTGAAGGGCTGAGTGAGAGCCACATGCCCACAGTGGCCAGGCAGAGTGTGGCACTTAGTAGGTTTACAATCCCTGCTCTTGGCCATCAGCTGTTTGAGCTTCATGATTTCTAGCCTGAGAAGCTGTTTAGCAGAAGAGCTCACATTTATAGGAAACTAAGTATTTTGCCAGTTAATTCTGGTTTTTTCTTTTTTAAATATAATTGCAAATTAAGGTGCTCTTAGGTCTGGAAACAAACCCAGCCCCAAGGCAAACCCCTCAAGGACTTGTCTCCTACTGGACAGTGATATTAACGAGTCAGGTAATCTTCATGGGTATTCTCATTTTTAATTTAACCTTGAGCGATTTCTGGAGTGTGCATCAACCATGTGCCCAAGTCTCAGGCTGTGACTGCAGCTCCTGGCTCTGGCTGTCTACACATCTTCTCAGGTGCAGTTATTAGTTCACTCTGTGAAATGGATTTAAAAACATATATAATCACTACTTCATGTTGAATCTGTGGCTGCATCTTCACCCAAGGCTTTGGAGGACTCTTACCTTAAATCTTGCCTTAGTTCTCGGGGGAGCACTGGGCACAGCTGCCGTCATAATAACTGGTGCAGCCAGTTCTGCAAAGAGCAAAAGCAGTTGCATCATTTATCCAGTTCTGGTTTCCATGCCACCCCAGTCACTTCCTTCGATGTCTGGGCCACTTGTAGCTCTTGAGAAGGGATTTAATTGCTTCGGTCTCAACTCCCAAAGCCCTAGACTCTTATTTGTACCCTGCCCCACTTCTCTGATGGACAGGACAGTTTGTGTGCTTCCTTTCCAAAACTGTCGATGAAAGTGGTAGGAGTCAGGAGCACTGGACAGGGTCTGCACGGGCTATGGGTGCTTTCTCTGGGTTTGCTCAGGGTGGGGCTGATACCCTGGAGCTTGTGTAAGGGGTTTCTGATGCAAACTTGTCACTTCCCCACAGTAGGCACGTTAAGCTGAAATTGTGACCCACAGTCGGCCTCTCCCATGCTATGACCGAGCTGGAATCTCCATGACACTTCTTTTGTCAATCTAACATCTGTGATGTGAGTTGTTACCACCTTCAGGATCATTAAAAAAGAAGAAACCAGATCTCATCTGCAGAGCTGTGGAGGACAATTCAAAGACTGGTTTTCTGTGGGGGAAGCAGGGTGGGGGATGCGGGCTTTTCCTTTATGGTCACAGTTTGGAGGAGGGGGGATTACGTGGCTGTGGGCAGGCTTTCTGCAGATCTCTGGAGTCCCTCTGAAAATCAGTGGTTGCTTCAGGAACTGAAGTGACTGCCTTAGGATGAGGTCTGTGGCCAGGAGTGAGATGCACCCTGAGAAAGTGCACAAGGGCGCCTGCATCTGCTGGACAACAGTGTGTGGGGACCCTTGCCTTTTCTGGTCCTAAGCAGAGCTGTCAACACCATTCTCACGAAGTGGACAGCATTGTCCATTTTTTTCTGGCACTCTCAGGTGTTGTTTCTGATCCAGGGCTCACAGTCTGTGAAGCACCTGCCCCATCTCACCTGTACTGCTTCAGAAGCTTTGGGGAAAGTCTTGATGACGAGATAAGACCTGGCCTTGACAGGAGCAGCTGGAAAACCAAACAGTTGGTAGCAGTCCGGCATGAACACAGGGACAGCAAAGCCCAGTGACCACCCTAACCTGTCCTGTGCTGCCGAGCTCAGTGTGTACATGCAACACACACACACACACACACGCACATATGCACACGCATACACACAGAGGACACTCTTGGGTTAGCCTTGGATCCCTTTTACAGGTTCCTGTCCTTCAAGAAGTCTCCCCAGCCTTCCTTTACCCTTCCACCATCTCCTGAGCTGCCCTGGCCCTCCTTACCTTCCTCACTGCCAGTCTCATTGATCCCATTTATTATGCCCCACCCCTGAGTTGTCTTTACTCCCACACCTGCCTGCAGAATACGAGGGGGCCAGCGGAGTGGATAGGCTCGTGCCCTGAGGGAACAGAAGCAGTCACACAGGCTCCTGTCATCCACCTGGCTAGTGGCATTACCTTCTTGCCTTACAGATGAGGAAACTGAGGCAGGCAAGGCAGCATCCGCCCAGGGAGAGGCGCTGAGCTTCAAAATGCAGGGAGGCTCTCCTTACTGCTGGCCCACCTATGGCATGGTCAGCAGGGCTGGGCAGACCCCTTCCCCCCACTGCTTAGGAAGCCTACTCAGTGGACTCTGGGGAAGGACCCAGCACCTAATGCACCACAGGCAGGTCCAGGTGGGGTGGGGGCTCTAGGTTCACAGCCAAGCAGAGGACACGGCTCTTCCCCTACCTGGCCTTAGCACAGCCTCACTGGGCACCAGGCCCTCCAGGAAACAGCTGCTTGTACGTGTCATGGAGGAGGCAGAGAAGTGGGGCAGAAGTGGGTTCCTTGTGATTCTGGTGACATAAAAGAGACACCTCTCCCTAGGTGTATGGAGACACAGCCTAGTACCCTGAAGCAGGCGAGAGAAGCAGGTGAGACCAAGAAATTCCAGGCTCCCACAGTCTTCTGCTCTATCCTGGCTCACCTGAGGAGGGAAGGCCACCGAGGGTGGAGCAGGAGTTGAACGAGGCCATGGTGGACAACTGGCACTCCATGCACCTGCTCCTGCATCCCTCCACCTCCAGTCCTGTGCACTCCCTCCCTCCTTCCTTTATCACATACCTGCGCAGTCATTCAACCGTTGCCATTGTCTCATTCAGTCCTTTGTGGGTTTGGTATCCACTGCC